CATCCATCCATCCATCCATCCATCCATCCATCCATCCATCCATCCATCCATCTATCTATCTATCTATCTATCTAGGGAATTCTGGGAGTTGAAGTCCCCCCATCTTCCAAGTTTGGGAAACCTTGCACCAGCTGCCTGGGGAATTCTGGGAGTTGAAGTCCCCCCATCTTCCAGCTTCCAAGCTTGACAAACGCTGCGGTTAAAGAGCAGCTACTGCGCCTCGGGCCAGCGCCACCCCTTACACGCGTCCCACTCCCGACGGCTTTCAACCCCCCCCCCCAAGAAACTCCGTCCGTCGCCTTTCTCCCCCGCCCTCCTCAACACGTGTCCGCCTGTTGCTCCCACATTCGTGCTTCCCCCCCCCCCCGTGATTGTTGCTCGGGCTTCGCCTCCTGTGGGGGAGGGGGAGGCTGCTCCGGCTGGAGGGGGGGGCGTCTCTTTCGGGTGCAGGGCCGGCGCTCTCTCTCTCTTTCTTTCTCTCTCCCTGTCCCTCTCTCTCATTCTCCTTCTTTCTCTCTCTCTCCCTCCCTCTCTCTCTTTCTCTCTGTCCCTCTCTCGTTCTCTCTCTTCCCCCCTCTCTCATTCTCACTCTCTCTCTTATTCTTTCTTCCCCCTCTCATTCTCTCTCACTCTCAATCTCTCTGTCCTTCTCTCCCATTCTCTGTCCCTCTCTCTCATTCTTTCTTCCTTCCCCTCTCTCATTCTCAATCTCTCTCTCTCTCTCTTCCTCCCCCTCTCTCATTCTCTCTCTTTCTCTCTCTTCCTCCCTCTCTCATTCTCTCTCTTTCTCCCCCTCTCTCGTTCTCAATCTCTCTCTTATTCTCTTTCTTCCCCCCTCATTCTCACTTTCTCTCTCATTCTCTCTCTCTCATTCTCTCTGTCCCCCTCTCTCATTCTCTCTCTTTCTCTCTTTTCCTCCTCCCTCTCTCATTCTCTCTCTCTTCCTCCGCTCTCTCATTCTCTCTCATTCTCTCTCTTCCTCCCTCTCTCTCATTCTCTCTCTTCCTCCCCCTCTCTCATTCTCTCTCTTTCTCTCTTTTCCTCCCCCTCTCTCGTTCTCAATCTCTCTCTTATTCTCTTTCTTCCCCCCTCATTCTCACTTTCTCTCTCATTCTCTCTCTCTCTCATTCTCTCTGTCCCCCTCTCATTCTCTCTCTTTCTCTCTTCTCCTCCTCCCTCTCATTCTCTCTTTCTCTCTCTTCCTCCCCCTCTCTCATTCTCTCTTTCTCTCTCTTCCTCCCCCTCTCTCGTTCTCTCTCTTCCCCCCTCTCTCATTCTCACTCTCTCTCTTATTCTTTCTTCCCCCTCTCATTCTCTCTCACTCTCAATCTCTCTGTCCTTCTCTCCCATTCTCTGTCCCTCTCTCTCATTCTTTCTTCCTCCCGCTCTCTCATTCTCAATCTCTCTCTCTCTCTCTTCCTACCTCTCTCTCATTCTCTCTCTTCCTCCCTCTCTCTCATTCTCTCTCTTTCTCTCTTTTCCTCCTCCCTCTCTCATTCTCTCTTTCTCTCTCTTCCTCCCCCTCTCATTCTCTCTCTCTCTCTCTCTCTCTCTCTCTCTCTCTCTCTCTCTCTCTCTCTCTCTCTCTCTCTCTCTCTCTCCCTCCCTCCCTCCCTCTTTTCCTCCCCCCTCTCTCATTCTCCCCCCCCCCTTCTCTCTCTTCCTCCTCCCCCCCCTCCGCGCCTTCCAGCCCCCGACGCGATTGCGCAGCGGCGGAGAGTGTCAGCCGGGCTCGCCCGCTCCAGAGCTGCGCTAGGGGGAGCATTCGGTGCGCTGGTGCCGCGCCGGGGGGCTCGGCGGCGGGCTGCTGCTGCTGCTGCTGCCTCCTCCCTCCTTCCCTCCATCTCTCCCTCCATCCCTCCATCCCTCGCCGGGCACCGAGCCGGGAGGACCAGCCCGCCCGGGTCCCCCCCACCCCGCTCCCGCAGGCGATGCCTCCTCCTCCGCCGCCTCCCCCGCCGTGAAGCTGGGCAGACAGCCCGGGCTGGCTCTTGGCTGCGAGCGAGGGTCGTCGGAAGGGCTCCCTGCACGGCCAGGATGCCCGGCGCGGCCAGGGCTCCGTCGGCTGCCGTCCCGAGCGGGCTGCCGGCCTCCACCTCCTCCTCCTCCTCCTGCTCCAACCCGGGGCTCTCCGGGGGTCTCCTGCCCCCGCAGGAGGCGGCCAAGCTCTACCGCGCCAACTACGTGCGCAACTCGCGGGCCATCGGGGTGCTGTGGGCCATCTTCACCATCTGCTTCGCCATCGTCAACGTGGTCTGCTTCTTCCAGCCTTACTGGATCGGCGACGGCGTGGAGACCCCGCAGGCGGGCTACTTCGGCCTCTTCCACTTCTGCACCGGCAGCGGCGTCTCCCGGGAGCTGACCTGCCAGGGCAGCTTCGTCGACTTCGCCAGCCTGCCGTCGGGGGCTTTCAAAGCCGCCTCCTTCTTCATCGGCCTCTCCATGGCGCTGGTCGTCGCCTGCATCCTCTCCTTCAGCCTCTTCTTCTTCTGCAACACGGCCACCGTCTACAAGATCTGCGCCTGGATGCAGCTCAGCTCCGGTAAAAGCCCGGGCGCCACGGTGCCGGGGGTGGTATTTTTTGGGGGGGAATGGGGGGGCAGCTGGAGGAGGGGGAGACCTGGCCCGTGGGAATGCGCTAAGCCGGAGGTCCCCCCCCAACATCTGGGGCAGCCGGGACCCACCGGTTCCGTGCAGAGAGAGAGAGAGGCTTTATCCCGCGGATCCCCGGAGGGCGCGCGCGCTTTTACGCGCTGCCTGCAATCCCGCCGGTGGGGATGGTTGCTTGTTTGTGCGGACCGGTGGCTGGCGTGCCGTGCACGGACCCAGGGCGTTGGGGACCCCTGCGCTGAGATGTAGGCTTGCCAGGTCTGCTTCCAAAAAATAGCGGACAAGCGGGGGGGGGGGGGGGTTAAGTAGTAAAAAAAGTAGGCTGTACAGCTTTAGATTACGCACCATTTCATCATAAAGCTTTTGAATAAAAAAAAAATGTCCACTATTTTGTGAAAAAAAATAGTGAACATAATGTGAAAAAAGTGGACTGTCCACTCAAATAGTGGACACCTGGCAACCCTACTGAGATGCCAGGAGTCAGGGATCCCGGAGCCAGCAAGAACTGGGGGGAGGGATGGGGTGTAGGGTGGGGTACCAGTCCCAACGTCTGAGAGATGCTTCTTAGGGCGAAAGGATCCTTCTCCCAGCTTGCGGGTTGGTTTCTGAACGTCTCTGGAGATTCTCAGCCCTCCCCGGTTCTGCTTGCCCCGAAAGTGCTTTTTTTTTTTTTTTTCCAGGAGGGAACTGGACTTTCTGGCTTTTCTTTTAAAGACATTTCACGTCTCAGAAGGAACAGGGGGGACAGGATAGCAGTCTTCCAGTATCTCAGGGGTTGAGCCAAAGAAGAGGGGGGTCAAGCTGTTCTCCAAAGCGCCTGAAGGCAGGACAAGAAGCAACGGATGGGAACTCATCAAGGAGAGAAGCAACCTAGAACTAAGGAGGAATTAGGAACAATTAATCAGTGGAACAGCTTGTCACCAGAAGTTGTAGGTGCTCCATCACTGGAGGTCTTTAAAAAGAGGCTAGACAGTCACTTGTCTGAGATAGTATAGGTTCTCCTGCTTGAGCAGGGGGCTGGACTAGAAGACCTCCGAGGTCCCTCCCAGCTCTATTCTATTCTATTCTATTCTATTCTATTCTATTCTATTCTATTCTATTCTATTCTATTCTAATCCATTCCAATTCTATTCCAATCCATATCTTATTCCATTCTGTAGCCGTATTCTGTTCTGTTCTGTTCTGTTCTGTTCTGTCCTGTCCTGTCCTACCCTACCCTACCCTACCCTACCCTACCCTACCCTACTCTACTCTACTCTACTCTACTCTACTCTACTCTACTCTACTCTACTCTACTCTACTCTACTCTACTCTACTCTACTCTACTCTACTCTACTCTACTCTACTCTATTCTATTCTATTCTATTCTATTCCATTCCATAATTCTATTCTATTCTATTCTATTCCATTCCAATCCATTCCAATTCCATTCCAATCCATATCTTATTGCATTCTGTAGTCGTATTCTATTCTGTCCTGTCCTGTCCTGTCCTGTCCTACCCTAGCCTAGCCTAGCCTAGCCTAGCCTACCCTACCCTACCCTACCCTACTCCTATTCTATTCTATTCTATTCTATTCATTTTCCACCTATTCTATTCTATTCTATTCTATTCTATTCTATTCTATTCTATTCTATTCTATTCTATTCTATTCTATTCTATTCTATTCTATTCTATTCTATTCCATTCTAGTGTCTATGGAGATTCTCAGTCCTCCAGATCCAGGTTGTCCCAAAGTTGATTTGTTTTCCAAGAGGCAACTGGACCTTCTCGTTTTTCTTCGAAGACATTTCACTTCTCCTCTAAGGAGCTTCTTCAGCTCTCTTGGTTTCTGAACATTTCGTTACCAGCCTGGCCAACACCGTTAGCAAAGTTGAGGCGTCGGCGTTCTTGGGGAGATGGGGATAATGGGGTGAAGAAACCAACCCAGAAGCTCGGAGGACGAACCTCCACCCTCACCCTCCACCCGAGCTACAGATACTCGCCACTATTACATGTGCTTCTTAGATCAGTTTCTCCAAACTGGGGCTGGGTTCAAGTTTCCCCAGCAGCAAACACTTGGTTTTCTGCACATCTGGATGGTACCTGTGGGAAAAGGGTAATCTAGACTGTCTTGAGTTCAGAAAGGGGCGAAGCTCTGGCTGTGCGCTTTGGGAAGCTATCTTTATCTTGGTTCCATCTGGGGGTGTGCTTGGTTCTCCTTACAGGTAGTCCTCAACTTACAACAGTTCCTTTAGTGACCGCTCAAAGTTACGGCGGCCCTGGAAAAAAGGGACTTATGACTGTTTTTCACAGTTGCAACCACGATCACGCGATCAAAATTCCAGAGGCTTGGCGACTGGTTCATACTTACGACCGTTGCAGCGTCCTGGGGGTCACGTGATCCCCTTTTTCAATGGGGGGGAAACAGGTTCACTTAACAACCGGGTTACTTGTCTTACCGAGTGCCGCAGTTCGCTTCACAGCGAACGAGGTCGTAAAACGGGGCCAAAGTCACTTCGCAAATCCTCACTTCCTTCTCACTGAAATTTGGTGGTCGTAAGTCGAGGACGACCCTTCCTGAATCCTCTCCAGGCTTTTCGCTCTACTTTCTCCTTCCTTGTCCGACATCACAAGCACAAAGCTTCTGCAGGCCGAAGGTGATTTGTGAGCGGGCGTGTTTGCGAACAGGGGACCGAGTGCGAAATACGATGGCTCGTTTAAGCAGAGACCTTTTTATAAGTCAAAGACCGTTGGTTTGTGGGGAGGCAGGTCGTTGATTGACAGGAAAAACTAAGGTGCTTCGTGTCTGGAGATCTTCGGTGTGTGTGTGTGTGTGTGTGTGTGTGTGTGTAAGATATCTAGGCAAAGTTGCGTAAGTTTTGGGGAGCGTTTGGGTGTCCACAAGAAAACTCTTGAGTGGATTTTGGATGTTTGCTTGGTGCTGGGTTTGGCCTAAATTCTAAAAAAAAAATCAAAGCCATGCCTCTAACTCTTCACACGTGCTCAAATATTGATTATTGGACTGCCCAGATTAATATTGTTCTCTCTCTAATTGCATCCATTTAGGGGTGTCCAATCTTGGCATCGTTAAGACTGGTGGACTTCAACTCCCAAAATTCCCCAGCCAGCTAAGCTGACTGGGGAATTCTGGGAGTTGAAATCCATGGGTCTTAAAGCTGTCAAAGGTGCAGACCCCTGATCTATACCAAACAGCCCCCTAATACGGGGTCCCCAACCCCCGGTCTGTGGACCGGTACCGGGCTGCGGCATGCTAGCAACCTGTCCACACAAACAAGCAAAGCCCCATTTGTGGGATGCAGGCAGCACACAAAACCACACACTCTCCGGTCCATGGAAAAACCTCTTTCCACGGAACCAGTCCCTGGTGCCCAAATGGTTGGGGACCTCTGCCCTAATACCCTGGGTAGGGGGGATGGGGGGAAATATGGATTTCTTCACCACCTCCCCAACACATGAATGTCTGTTGTCACTACGAAGAGAGAGGTGACTTGAAATAAGGGCAGTGAGAAATTCATCCTTCGGCAGAGATTGGTGCTTAAGTAAAGGTCACAGTATAAAGGGGAAAAACGGCTACAAAAGAGAGAGAAACGTAATTGAAAATGCGCAAATTCCTGCGTTCGTCAGCTGCTTTAAGGGTTTACATTTTTTTTTTATAACCAGTTTTATTAATTTTTCAATTTTTACATCCAGGTATTTAGGAAGCAGCGTGGTGATAGGGTAATCAATAGTCCAATAACAAAATCATTCGTGCCTATCTCAGGTTACATCATTAAAAGTTCCCTCTCTCTTTCCCTTAATTATTATATCGTATTCAGGTTAATACATTTCTAGCTATAACTCAATCAATCCATACATTTGTCAATAAAATTTTACTTATACACATCCAAGTCCTGTTTTTAAGTTTTACTTAATTCCAGGTACCATGTTCCAATTTAGCCTTTAATAAGAACGTAACTTCCTGAACAATATGTGTATTTTAGACACGATAATTATTTTGTAATGAAATGAGGGAAATTAGGGCTACTCGAAGTTTAAATATTATGGTTATTACTAAAGGGTTTACATTTTTGAGGGGTTAGGGTAAATGAATGCCATCGGCCCCTATTTGTGATATCCTTTTTTTTTTTCCCATCACAGTCGGATGAAAAGTAGGTGAGATAGTAAGGGTTGATTCCTCCTTCGGGTAGTTTAAAATAAGAGTAGGAATCAGCAGTTAAACCAGGTTGTATGTAAATAGTGAGGGCTTGGTAAATGAGAAGAGAGGATGGATGTTTGAGCAGCTTCAATTGCAGCTTTGGCATATCAAGTCGTCGTGAAATAAATCTCATTTGTGCATCTTGCTAACTACAAACCACAGCTTGTCGTTCCTGGGTTCACACGACGCGCAAAGTCAAAAGCATTGGCTTGGATGTGGATTGAAGCAGGTCAGTCGGCGTCTCTAACGTTTATTCTTGTTGGATAGTGAAAGAAACAGCCAGCCTGATAAAAGCAGAGGAATCGCAGAAGCCCTTTTCCATGTGGAATCTTGAAAATGACAAAATGTGTACAGTACGATGAGCAAACAGCGTACATCTCAACAGAGGCCATTCATAAATGGGGCAGATCTAAACAAGCCATGGGGGCATTGCTCTTAATGTGACTCAGTTGGTGGCCAAAGGAGAGACGAAACACTAATGAATTACAACATATTAACATAGAAAGTAAAAAATTGCTAGAAGCCTCCTGGATTTGAACTATCCGGAGACCAGTAAAGAGAAATGCTTATAAAACAAATTCAAATGAACATATGCTTAACAATTAGGCCCGTGCTAGAAAAAATGAACTTACATGTGGTTTTCATTAGTTATAAATTTGATGAATCAGTTATTGTCGTTTATACTTCTAAATAATTCTGAAGAATAGAATAGAATAGAATAGAATAGAATAGAATAGAATAGAATAGAATAGAATAGAATAGAATAGAATAGAATAGAATAGATGGAGTGGAGTAGTTTAGAACAGTGGTTCTCAACCTGTGGGTCGGGACCCCATTTGGGGTCGATCGACCATTTCATGGGGGTCGCCAAGCAAGGCTGTCCGCCATTTTTTTTGTCCGCCATTTTTTTCCCCTTTTCCGGCGGGTGCGTTACCTCCCTTGGGCTGGGCCAGCTGGTGGTCAGCCTGCTCCGTCTCTGCCGCTTGCCAGCTACGCCTCGGCCGGCGCAGGGGGCGGAACCATGCATGCGCGGCGCTCCCGGGCAGGGAAAGTCCTTGACTTACGACCGGTTGGGTAGTCCTCGACTTATGACCGGTTTAGTCCTCGACTTACGACCGGTTTAGTCCTCGACTTACGACCGGTTGGGGTCGCGGCATTAAAAAGGTTGAGAACCACTGGTTTAGAATAATGAAGAACAGAATAGAATAGAATAGAATAGAATAGAATAGAATAGAATATAGAAATACAGAATAGAATAGAATAGAATAGAATAGAATAGAATAGAATAGAATAGAATAGAATAGAATAGAATAGAATAGAATAGAATAGAATAGAATAGAATATAGAAATACAGAATAGAATAGAATAGAATAGAATAGAATAGAATAGAATAGAATAGAATAGAATAGAATAGAATAGAATAGAATAGATGGAGTGGAGTGGAGTAGAATAGAATAATGAAGAATAGAATAGAATAGAATAGAATAGAATAGAATAGAATAGAATAGAATAGAATAGAATAGAATAGAATAGAATGGAGTGGAGTGGAGTGGAGTGGAGTGGAGTAGAATAATGAAGAATAGAATAGAATAGAATAGAATAGAATAGAATAGAATAGAATAGAATAGAATAGAATAGAGGGTGTCCTAAGGGGAGAAGGTGAAATAGATTGTGTCCAGGATGTGAGGGGTCTGTAGATATTTTCTCCGCCCTCCCTTGAATTCTGTTGACCTTGATCTAACTCTAAGCAGGTGCTAACTCTTAGTTAGTTGAGAAGAATCTTGTGCAATAAATCAGTTTAGTTGAACCTTTACGTGTGAATCCAATAGACATGATAGAAAAAGAAGGGTTGAGCCACTGAGCTGGGCCATCTAGCAAATGTGAACAACAGAATTACAAAGCCGATGATCTCTTAGAGATTTTGAGTGGGAGGAAAAAAGTAGACTAGAGATTCACTGTTTTTTGCCCTCTTATCACTTTTCCTCTTTCACCTTAATTTCATAGTTCTGCTGTCAGAAGTAGAAATGTCATGTAATTATTCCGACAGTTCTTCTGCTCATGAATGAACGAAGAACATTCTGAGGTGGTGGAGAAGACTTTAAGGGAAAGAGGTATTGCTGGAACACAACGTCTCCCTGTCTCCTTGAGTGACATCTGCCTTGGCCAACATCGTCTCAAGGCTTGCTATGCTTATATTAAAATTCAACTTGCATTGGGGGGGATAAACAACTCACTGCTCACCAGGCTATCCTGAAGTTCTGAGCATTTACTCAAGCTCATAGGTAAACTGGTTGATTGTCTGATGAAGTTAGAAATGTCAATGGAATTTACTAAACAGGAAAAATAAAATTAGGAAAAATGACATTGGGTGCATGTGTGTTTAAAACAACAAGGCAACAGGGATACAGTGAACACGTTTAAAACCAAGGGTGTCCAACCTTGGCAACTTGACAACCTGTGGACTTCAACTCCCAGAATGCCCCTGTCAGCCATGCTGGCTAAGGAATTCTGGGAGCCAAGTCCTCAAGTCTTAAAGTTACCACGTTTGGACACCCCTGTTTTAAATAGTTCATCTATAAGGTGGTAAATTTTAGCACGAGCGACGAGAAATCTGGATTTCCTCCATAAAGTGTTTTTAAAAAAAAGAGTGATGTCTTACGTGAGACACAAAAATCTATAACGCCGGGATTTGCCATGAATCCAATTCCATAAGTCAACAAGTCCTTTCTGCTGTGAGAAACGGAAAAGTCGTGGTATCGAGAGGATATAAACGGAAATTATGCTTTCCCATGAAAGAGAAGAAAAGATATATCCTGAAATTGTCCCAATTCTCTATATATCAACCCGCTTTTGCTTCTTAAAATGCAGGCTTAAAGGTAGCTAGAAATGTACACTGCCATATGGAAGGGAGACTTAGCTTCAATTATTTTGGGAGAAAAAAATAATAACTGTATTTTTTAAGCGTGAACGCACAGTAGCCTCTCAAACGTATTTGTCAAGACTAAAGAGTAACCCCCCAAAAGCTGTTTTTTTTCTAGTTTCAGGAAGGGAATAAGAGAGAGTGTGTTATTGAAAAGGCAGACGGATTTGCACGAAGATATATATATATATATATATATTTAAAAGTTTTAACAATCCCTAAATAGAGTCTTTGAAACAAGTCCATTATGTGGCACCTTACAGAAGATTATTCTCCTTAGTTAATTGGCTGAATAGAATTTGAAACAGATCTCAAATAATCCTAAATGAGCTGTTTTTTAAAGAGGCGAGGGTGCACCCTTGATGGAATCGCGCCGTCGTCTGTCTTCTTTACAACAAATTTTAACAATTAAATTTAACAGACTGGAGGAAACTGTTAAGAGTAGGTGGGAAAAATAATACCTGCTGAAATAACGTTGGCAGATTCGCTTATAGGCGGATGATATTCTTTGGGGCTACACCGTGTTTAAGGACTTAATATAGTAGCACATTTTTCAACGCACGGCAATTACGGAGCATCTATTTTAATGAAACGAGCGATCGGCGGGGAAAAAAACGTAAGGTATAATTTTGCACGAAGCCTTTTTACGTCTCATTGTAAAGAGAGGAGATTTAATTTAATTTAATGTAAATAAGAAAGAAAGCTACGGCTCGGCACGGGGGAGACCACACATGGAGAACTTGTATGTTCCTGGGCTCCAGGTGATATTAGCTAGTTCACAGAAGATAGAATAGAGTAGAATAGAATAGAATAGAATAGAATGGAATGGAATGGAATGGAATGGAATGGAATGGAATGGAGTGGAGTGGAGTGGAGTGGAGTGGAGTGGTGGAGTAGAGTAGAGTAGAGTAGAGTAGAGTAGAGTAAAATAATAAAGAATAGAATGGAATAGAATAATGAAGAATAGAATAGAGTAGAGTAGAGTAGAATAGAATAATAAAGAATAGAATGGAATAGACTAATAAAGAATAGAATAATAAAGAATAGAATAGAGTAGAGTAGAGTAGAGTAGAAAATAGAACAGAACAGAACAGAACAGAACAGAACAGAATAGAATAGAATAGAATAGAATAGAATAGAGCTGGAAGGGACCTTGGAGGTCTTCTAGTCAATCCCCTGCTCAAGCAGGAGAACCTATAACATTCCAGACAAATGGCTGTCCAATCTCTTCTTAAAAACTTCCAGTGTTGGAGCACTCACAGCTTCTGGAGGCAAGTAGTTCCACTGGTTAATTGTTCTAACAGTCAGGAAATTCCTCCTTAGTTCCAGGTTAATGACGGGGTATTGATTGAGGCTGCTTTATGACAGTGTTTCTTAACCTTGGCATTTTTAAGATAGAGATAGTCCTTGATTTACATTTGTTTAATGACATTTGAAGTTCAAAAAAGTAACTTATGACCGTTTTTCATGCTTAACAACCGTTGCAGCATCCCCGTGGTCACGTGATCAAAATTCAGATGCAATCGTGTAAGGTGGAGTAGACTGAGAGTCACCCAGCTGGCATTCATGACTAAAGCAGGACTAGAACTCACCGTCTCCTAGTGATTGGCCCAAAGTCACCTAGCTGGCATTCATGACTAAGGCGGGACTAGAACTCACCGTCTCCTAGAATTGGTCCAAAGTCACCCAGCTGGCATTCATCTCATTTTCATTTCACAATCTCCTGCTTTCTAGGCTGGTGTCTTAATTATTAGACTAAACTGGCTCTCTATTACATCCTCAATAATAATCTACTTTACTTTAAATATACTTTATCCGGCTATGCCATTAGATTCCTAAATTTGCCCCCCACACAAACATAATCCAATTAATATCGTTAGGTAAGTTGTATTTGTGAACAATGCTGGAATTCTTCTCTTCTCTTTTTTCTTTTTGCAATCTCATTCCGTAGTTCATGTCTTGATTTACACACACGACTTAAATGAGAATCGCTTTTGTTTAGCCAATTAGAAATTAGTGTTGTAGCCAGAATTCAAAACACTGTTTCTTAGAGCTCCGTTAGGAATTCTTGGGTAGAAATGAAGGAATTAAATCTTTGGATATTACACTCCCAGATAAAATTAAAGCAATGGATATTCTCAAGGAAAGATTCGAATAGAACTTCTTTTTTTTCTTCTTGAATTGTTCTTCGAGATGAGTAGGAAAAAAAAAATCTATGTTCTGTTTCTGAGCAAAATCTGAGTCTGTCATTGTCACGGTTGACTCTTTTTTCCTCAACCCCCGAAAGGTAATGAGAACTTGTCGGCCTTTTAATGCATCTTCCTAAAATTGCCTCAGAAATTTCGAGTGGGGAAGTGGCGACTGGAGATTAGTCAAACTTTCAGCGAAGCATTGCGACAATTCTCTAATTGGGTATTCGGTTCTGAAGCAGATATTCAACATTCGTCTAATTTTCCGAGTGACAGAAACAGAGTCCGTCATGAAACGGTGAAGCAAGCAGTACGGCCCTGTTGGATAAACATTGTCCAACAAAATTGTGTTTGTTGTTGGAGGGTAAAGAACAAAAGGAGGTTCCTGTCCAAAATAATTTACAAGGTAATAATAATAATAATAATAATAATAATAATAATAATAATAATAATAATAATAATAATAATAATAATAATAATAATAATAATAATAAAGTTGGAAGGGATCTTGGAGGTCATCTAGTCCAACCCCCTGCTCAGGCAGGAAACCCTATACCATCCCAGACAAATGGCTGTCCAGTTTCTTCTTAAAAACTTCCAGTGTTGGAACATTCACCGCTTCTGGAGGCAGGTAGTTCCACTGGTTAATTGTTCTCACTGTCAGGAAGTTTCTCCTTAGTTCTAGGTTGTTTCTCTCCTTGATCTAGAATGGACATCTAGACATTCGTTTCAACTGTCCGTGCTTTGGATGCTACAGGTAATCCTCAACTTACAACCCCAGTTGTGCCCAAAATTTCTCTTGCTAAGTGAAACATTTGTTACGTACGTTTTGCCCCGTTTTACAACTTTTCTCGCCATTGTTGTTAAATGAATCACTACCATTGGTAAGTTAGTAAGATTGTTCTTAAATGAATCCCGCTTCCCCATTGACTTTGTTTGTCGGAAACTTGCAAAAACAGATCACGTGACCCCGGGCCACGGAAACCGTCATAAATATGAGTCATCTGAGCACCTGAATTTTGATCCCGTGACCGTGAGGGTGCTGCAAAAGTAACAAGTGTGAAAACTGGTCACAAGCCACATTTTTTTCAGCGCCGTTGTAACTTTGAACGGTCACTGACTGTGGTCTCTCAAATAATTACTTAATGGATCTGGAAAGTTACACATGCTTTATGCATCAGTATTTACATATGATTTCACACTGCTTACTTTATCTAAGCCATTTATGTGTTCTATTTCCTGAGCAAATAATCAGTGTGTTCACTCTCGGTATTGTGTGTATGAAGTATTAGAAAATGTGTGAAATTGCTAACAATAACTTCCTTGCGGTTATACTTCCAGCATATCCGATTGTTAATTATTAATACGGTGATTTCAATTACTTCTTTTATTAGATGGAGGTCTGATAGTGAGGAAGCATGCGCAATTTCATGTATCTTTATGTAAATTTTTTAGGTCTTAGATTTTCCTGGTCTGACTTTAATACATCAGATTAAGCTTTTATCACAACAGTTATCTACGTTAACTGTGAGGTAAATAGAGACTCAGTGGTAATACGGGAAACTGAAAAATTTAGAGTTGGCAAATAAAGTTGGAGATGAGTGGCATATAAGTTGAGAAAGGAAAAAAATAAAGAAAAATATATTGAAAATTTAAGTAGAGGTCATATTAGTGAATGATGCAAGTATACAGGCATTTTTTAAAAATTATTGTTCCAATTTGTGTAGAAGATGAGATATTTCTTCCCAAAAGGTTGAGAAGTACCTTAAAAACAAAATTTTACCAAAATTTTCACAATCTCATACACAAATTATGAATAGTCAAATGGATATATATGTGTGTGTGTGTGTGTGTGTGTAGATAGATAGATAGATAGATAGATAGATAGATAGATAGATAGATAGATAGATAGATAGATAGATAGATAGAT